ACAGAAAACAAACCTGTGTGACCTGCACCTGAACTTGAGACGTTAGTGGCTGTACTTGTTGCATTCCTCAGTGGGAGTTTAGCCTTTCATGGAACTGGTGATAATCGGTTGACATTACATACTTTCCATATTTTAAAAAAAATGTAGAAGTTGTGCAAAAACTCTTAATTTAGGTAACTAGTAGTATAAATACTTGGATCTTTCTTAAGGTAGGAAATAGTTAACAGAAAATCTTCCACTAACAAACTGAGTGTTTGCTTGTTAAGTCTGATGTCATGAGCCAGGTCCAAATTCACCTTCATTACCCAAAAGAAAACAAACACTCAGGCACTGCAGAGAGTTACAAACAATCCGGTTTGTTTCTTCTCCAATAAAATTATCCGTGCATCTTTAACACTCTGACCTCCATAAAAAGAGGATTTGTGTTTAGGTTAAATACAATGTTCTGACTTAATTATTTGCAGAAGGAAAGAATACATAGCTCCGCTATAAATCTTGGATTTAATTTAAGACTGAAACTGACCAAACTTCAGCCAAGAGACTGAAGTTTGGTGAGATGATCCCATCCGCCAGACGAGGTTCAGTCATTGATATTGTGTGATCGGGATAACTTGCTATGAAAAGGTCCTGCTCCCCAACGGAAGTCTTAGTTGGTCCAACATTGATTCTATTCTGAAATGTTCAAATGTTTGCTTTTTTAAATGATGCTAATAAAAGGCCTAAAACGAGGAGCTCAGCCTGATTTTAAAAGAGAGATAGCGAGACAGTAAGAGCCTCCAGCACAGTAGAAGCTTGATTTAGCAACAGCAGTTACGTCATCACATAACAAGTAGAAACATTCTTGTTATACCTTGTGCAGTCCTGAATTGCTTTTCAGTTTGAGTGGTCTTTAATTTTGTACAATCTCTGTAAACATTTCACATACTGCGAATGTCATTTTAACAAAAACTATAATAGAACCAGGTGAACTTTACGTCTCCTTCAGTTAACAAGGACTTTGGTGGAGTTGTAGAAAATGAAATTACTATTATTACTCTTCCTGCTGCAGAGATGTGATGCAAGCTTTGTCCCCCTCTGGCTATAGCCAGGAGCAGACCACACCTCTCTTTATTATTGCTTTCCCAGAGTGAATTCCCAAGTGCATTATTGGAAGTTGGCAATCGTCTGCTTTTGATTGACAGTTGAGGTGGATAC